ACAAATGAAGCCTAAACCCTCCTCAGCCCTGAAAGCAAAACCGGCCTTGATCACTTTGGGGTTCCAGGTTGCGCCCTGCACTTTGGCGGCTACGGTGCCATACCTCAGCCGCTCCCTCGCTGTGAGGGTGTTCTGGCTTGGGGTTCAAGACTGTGGGGCTCAGAGCTTAGGATCTGATGGCTTGGGGGAGCATACGGGGCCAGACGATCTCAGGATTGAGGATGCAGGGTGCCAGAAAAGAGCCTATCCAGGAATTCAGGATATGCCTTAGACTAGGACAGTTCTGGCCGTTGCTTCCTTGCATCTGCCTGGGCTCACTTGGGCTGTTTTGCACCTCCAACCATGACACCACACTACTGTTCTTTGTAATGGCGATGATAAAGAACAATGTCTACGACAAAGTCTTTTAGTGGAGAGGTTTCATATCTTGATCCTGGAACAACAAACCCATGTAACAAAGCCAATCCAGTCAGGAAGCTATCCGCATTTCGTAAGCTTTGGCAAGCCCCCAGCACGAATCCAAGTATACCCCAGAATGGACATCCCGTAGCATCGTTTTCCATCCCTATGGCCTCCTCGCCCAAACGCTTGAGGTCCTTGATCTTCTGCTATTAAAAGTCTAGACCATGCAGCTGTCTTTGAATTCACTGGACTATGAGCGAGTCCCAACGTTTAGCCGCCTTAGATTAGGTCCTTGCCGGGCCTAGCGACGTACTCCCGAAACAACAAGGTAACCCTAGAAACTAAACTCTAAAGTTGTGCTGAGTTGATGGTTAAAGTGCCCGCACAGATGGCATTCTCAACTTCAACCAACCACCCGCACAAATTTTCCGGAACCTCAAAGGCATGTCAAGCAAACGGCCGAACGACTAAAAGAATCGTTAATTTCCTACACTGCGAGGATATCAATCTTCCTGATTGGGTCGGCCTCCCAATTGCGAGGGTCCCGAAAGACCTTTCAACCCTAGACTGTAGACCCCCGCAAACGCCAGAATTCAAAACCACAAAACCCCAAAGCAGGTATCCGAAGACCAAAGAAAGGAAGCCCATTCAACATCCTCGGAACCAATTCCGAGCCCAGTGGCCGCAGAGCCTTGTAGGCGGCGCTGGCCACGGCATTCCTCGGTTACCATGCTCATACGAGGCTGGCTCCAAGGCTCAAGGCTCAGGGTTGTCTAAGGTTGCCCAACACATAGATTTCAGGACTGTACGGAAAGATTCAGGGCTTAGCCGCTTAACCCTCCCGAAAACAACAAGGAGGCTCTGGGCTCCGGATAAATGTGCCCCGAATGAGGAAACTGCCCAAACTGGTGATCCCTTTCCCGAACAATGTCGTATAACCCAGCTCTCCTATGAGAAGCATGCGTGAACCGTGTTTGCTTGTCTAGGTCATGCGGCATATGCTTGCAAAATTGTCGAGGAGAGGCGCTCCTCAAAGCTTATGGCCGGCTTTAGTGGGTGCTCAGGACTTCAATTCTGCAGAGAGCCGGCGGAACTGAGGGCTTACGATCAAGTTCGGAGACGTCACCTCCCGCCCCCAAAGCCCCAAAAGCTGGACTCTGAGAGTTCGTCCGGGATGCGAGCTGTCGAAAGACCACTCCATCTGATTGCCCACGCTGTCCTTACCATCATGGGGTTGAGATCTAGGGGTCAAGCCTTCGGGCGCTAAGGGAAGGCTGTTGTTTGCTTGGCAGGCTGGGATGACATGATGCCACATCCTGCTGAACCGCAATAAGCCAGTATCTGTCTATCAGTATCCATGCTCTTGCTTGCCGAGTATTCCACACCAGTGTTTCTCCAGACTAGGGGCTTTTTCTTGGGGTTTTTCCTTTCAAGGGAAAGTTAAGCTGGAGAACCCCTTTCCCATAAAGACTCATGATGGAATCGTCAAATTGCGCAAGAATACTTTCGCAGTGAATGGCCCTGCAGCTTGCCTATGCCTTGGCCTGAACAGTTGCCAAATTTACAAAACTGAGTCTAAAGGCCGTACAGAGCTCGTTTGCGGTTGAAGGGGCGTGGGTGATTACTGATTAAGTTCTACCCTAAAAACCAGGGCAAAACCCCAGCCGCCCAAACTCCGCAACCCCTGTCGCCAAGAAGCAATAGCCAGGAGCTTGAGATTGGACTCAGGCACCTGCCCAGCTAGCGATTTGGCAGTTCATGTGAGGATGCCATGCCAAATTTACAACATAGGGTTCAGGGCTTAGGGATCAGGATTGAGGGGTTAGGATTTCAGAAATTACGGATCAGGGTTGAGGGTTGAATGGCAAACATGCAGGGAAGATTGACCCGGGGATTCTTCTGAGAAATCCCGTAGCTTGTGAGGCTTGTCTGGTCTAGCGTCTTGGGACTTGTCTCTCAAGCTAGAGCTTCAACAGGCTTCAGGGGAAGGATTATATTTTGTTACCCCACCGCGATTACAGTCCAGCCCAACTCCTTCTGAAGGTCCCCCACAAAAGGGCGGCCTTCTGAGGTAGGAAAAGCAACCTTTCCAATCCTTTCAGAGGTCTTCTTATGACTTGAATGCAACTATATGTCCTCGAACCCTTAATTCCAAGCGCTGGACTTGTATCTCCAAATCCCAAACACTTTAAAGCCCAAACACAAGACCAAAGTCCCTTCGAAGCCTCCGGAAGCTTCTGGAAGCAAACCGGATCCGACTCCTCGCAGTCGCCGAAGTTGTCGCCCAATACATCCGTTTTACCTTGGCTCGCTGGCGCTGAAGAGAGTGGGCTAGTGAATTTCGGCCAGAAGAATGTGCTGGAATAAAAATGTAGTGACTGTAGAGAGATCGATGCAGTCATCATAACCATTATAGCAGAGCGGGATCATCATCGGGATTCACCCCGGTAAGCTGCTTGGTGGGGCAGTGGGCTAGGTTCTTGGTTCCGTGCTGTGCTCAGGCCTCATGAGAATACCGGTAAGGAACTGTCCTTGAATGCGTCGAACATACTTGATAATCATGCCGTGCGCTACTGCCCTGCCCCGGGCTGTCATCTGAGTCTCCAGGCATCTGTTGCAAGATTCCGTACGTGAGGCATAGGTCCCTACTTTGGTGAAAACTTCCTCGTGAATCTCGGTACCAGGTTTGAAGCATAGGATCTCTTCCGAGCCGTTGGAAAATTTGTTTGTGAGGTGGGCCGCTGCGAAAAGGGCTAGAAAGCCTTCAGAAAGCTCTAACAGGGGCCATGCTTGAGACATGAAACGGTTGGGCGAGAAGCGTCGTTCAAAGCTACAGTCTAAACTCAAGCCCAATCTGCCCGCAACAAGAAACTTCTTGTGCTCCTGAGTGGGGGTGGCATCTCCATTTCTTGGGAGCCTGGGAATGCATAGGGACTGTTGAGGGAGACTAGGGATCGCCATCAAACATTATCTTGTGGATCTCCGTGAACCCGGACAACTCCGGCGTGCATTGCCAGTATTCACCTCAATGTCTATACTGCTGGCCCCTAGATTTAAGCTCATTGCTATTTGAGTAATTTTGAGTATTCCCACTAGGAACAAGAACAATGCTTTAGAAAAACTCCCGAACAGACTTTGGAGCTGATCTGGGTGCCTCTGCATTGACCAATCAGCAAGAGCCACAAAGCCCCCAATTTGGAAGCTGGGCAATTATTGCTGGGATCTGGTTTCGATGTGCTGTCATTCATGGGTCTGGGAGCAGCTTCGAAACCTGCAGTGTTGATTAAACAGCTGACGTGTGTCTCGGACGGATGCGGGCAACAAGGAGCCTACAATCTCTTCCCAGCAGAGCACATTTTTAGTCATTTGAACTCCATTGACGATGCATGTGGGCAACTTGGGCCTCTCGGGTAAACTTGGAGGTTTTCTCTGCGACCCAGGAGCCCTCTGGCCAGGCGGAGCCCTTCGTGAACCACCAGAACTTCTCGTACTTCTTGCCCCCCACGGTTATGGAGCCGTAGGACTGCAGCTCAGATGCATAATTCTGTTTTAATGTGTTCAACACATGAGGTTATGCAGGAGGATATCGGCTTTGGGGGTTCCCACAAATTTAGCCATTTCGGAAAATCTCAGTAACTTGCTTCGAACATCCTAAGCGGCCCTTTTGAGCTTTTAAGGCCCTGCGCTTGCCCATTCCTACGGGACATCCTTCGGAGCCCCCTAAACCTGCAGAACCTCCTGATGAAATCCTTCCTAGTACGACTCTTAGAAAAACCACTTGAACTTCCTTTACCATCCTTTTACGGGACTAAACGTTCATTCAAAGTCTAAGTCCCAAGCCCGTGGAGTCCCACCAGGAAGCCTCGAACCCCAAGCCTCAAATCAATAATGGAAGATGTACATGCGCCCCCGTTGATTCTCGATTTTCGTAGGCATTATGCAATATACTGAACCGTACGAACTTGAACTCAAACCTTAAGCCTTAGACCCCGAACCCTAAGCGGCGCCTTTTCCTTGTCTTCCGCCTCCGCCTCCACTGCCCCGGGAGCTGGGACTCGGCTTAGGGGAACGCCGCCCGACAGGCCGAGGCTGGCGCCTGACTTACTGGCGCTTAAACTGAACTTTAAGGTGGAGTGGGGATGAAATTCTAGAAGGGTGCAATCTCCCAGTCCCCAGCATCAGGAAGCTGAAGCAAGAGAAAGAAACACAGGAATTACGCCTTCAAGCGATTTAGGACCTACACCCTAGAAAGACGAGGCAGGCTGGTCAGCCCAATCGATTCTGTGACATACTCGCTCTCATGGGCAGGGGAATTTTCAACGGGAAATAATTAGGTGTTCTACTCTACTGCAAAATCATCCTCACCAGGTGACTAGAGGCCTTTCTTCATGGGCATGGATAGTACCTTTTGCCCTCCTGCACACATAAACCCCAAGTTCCATGAACGGTAGAACTCTCCACCCTCAGCCTGACAGGCCCTCACACCAAGGCTGACCCAATCTCGAAACCCAATGCCTGAACCTTGAACCCTGATCCTCAAATGCCTTACTTGAAACCCTGAAACCTAAATCCCTTCACACCTCAAAAATCGTTCCTGCCTGAGGATCCAAGGAAGTCGTACAGCAGCTTTACCTCCTTGCATGCCGTTCAGCTCTCAAACTTCAAGGAAAGTTTGCTGTAGGACGATAGGGGGCTTGACCGGATTTTCGAAGAAAAAAAGTTGGATGAGTCGGGCAAGATAGAGATTATGTGGGAGTCCTCAAAACTGAGGCGCCTGGTTTGATCACTTCATGTTGAAGACTGTGGCATGTTCAGCATAAACAGCAAAACCTTTCGATTTTGGATACGACTTCGATCACAAAGCTTGGAAGAGGAGCCTTGACCGAATTATTCAAGACACCTAGCTAGCAACATAGTGTGTGCGGTACACGTCAGAGAACAATCCGGAAACTGCAATATGTGAATATGAGCGGACATGATCTGCGCATTACATTACTGATTGTTAAGGCTCCACCTATGCCAATGCTCAGGAATAGGTAAAGCTGCCCTATCCTTGACTCTCATGCGCGAATCCCAAAATTGCCACCTGAAGAGCCCTCCCCAAACCTAAGGCCCAAACGCCTAAAACACCCGGCTCCCGACTCCTGGGCATTGTTGATCGCCAGCTCTTTCATTTGCTTTTCTTCGCACTTGGCTGCCATGGAATCCAAACTTTTTGCTTCCAGGCCTGCTGTTGTTGAGGGCAGGAGGTTTAGAGGATTTAGGGTCAAGGGATTTGTCGGGCTTAAGGCTGGAATGTGGGGGCTTCTTGAGCTTTCGGAGTTGACTGGTTTGGGGAGTGTTAAAAGGTTAACGATATGAGTCCTGGCCTGTACCCTGAGCCGCGGATAGAAATTCAAGAGCTCTTCCCTATCAGGTTAAACACACACACACACACACGCCCATCATTTTAGTTCAAATCTCTCGGCGCCTCCCGCCGTAGCCGCAAGCGACATGATTTGTATAATCTGCATTCAGCAAAGTTGCTCGAGGGCCCCTTCTCTGTTTGCTGACCTGACCCTACTAAACCACTTAACCCTAAATCCTAAGCCCGTAACCCCAAAGTCCCAAACGCAAAAATTCCCAAGCATCCCAAACCTTGGCCCCTGAACCCTAAACCCCAAAACCCCTGTACCCTGAAACCTAAACCTTGAGCCCCAACCCTACAGCAATGCGGTTGCCTTCGGTGACCAGGGCATACTGCGCTTTGATGTAGCACTTGCTGCCTTGCCTCAGACACGCCACTCCGCACGGGTGGGGCTTCAAGTACTCAAAAAGGAGGCTGAGGGCCTCCAGGGTTTGGGGTTGAAAGGTTTTTGAGGCGTAGGGTTGACGGTGTACGATTGCTCGGAGATGACTGTACCTAAAACTGAAATTGCATATAGGTTACCGTGCCCAAAATGCGGGCATCAATACTGGGACACGTCAAACAAGGGGATCCCAAGTGTATGTATCTTGCACTGTACCAATTGTCATCCAATCTTTTTCGGCTTTACGAGTTAAGGATTTGGGGCTTTTGGAGGATTGGGATTTACGGGATGATGGATTCGGGGATTGGCGGGAACAACGTCAACGTGCGCCTTGGATGCTAAGCTGAAGGCCGAGCATATGGAGCATATGGAGCATATGTTGACGGTTTCTCGTGGCAACCCACTGGGAAATCTGCATTCCAAATATGTGTTCAAAACTTTAGCCGTGCATCCTCACGCCCAAAGTGCACTCAACCCTCCAAACCAACTGCCAAGCCACAAACCCAACCTTCCACCCCTTTCAAAACAATCTCTGAAAGCCTAAAATCCAAGTACCCAAGCTGAGCCTCACACCATTCAACCGCGCCCTGACCCAGGCTTGCGAGAATCCCGCCCTCGAAGCAGGTAATGATGTGGGGATTCTCATTTAGAGGTTCCAGGCTTCAGGCACAGGGTTGCGGAGAAAGCGCTTCAGGGCTTAGGATTTGGAACTTTTGTGTTTGGGCTTCTCGAAATAAATCGGCCAGCTTTCAAAAATGTGCAATAGGGGTTCTGGGGTTCCTCTTGTGACTTTTGCAACCTTGCTGCTTACCCTAATAGACTTCCTCCACAAATTGGCCCCATGCGTGAACATGTCTTCCAGAAGGCACCTGACCCCGTCAAGCCTCAAACCTAAAACCCTAGACCGCAATTGAAGTAGCACCCAATTTCTCTTCCCTTTCCCTTATACATCAACGATACATAATCCCTACATAATCCCTATATCATCTTTCAAGCCTTAGCCGCAGTTCCCTGCATGAGCCCTTCATGCAAGAGACTGAGACTGAGCCTCGAAGTGGTGGCACACGCTGCCTTCCCAAGCAGTCCTGAAATCTGAAGGCTGTGGGTAAGCCCGAAGTTTGGGGAATGGAAAAGAAAATGGAAACTGTCATATTATGCAGGGTACAGGATTTAGGGCTTCCCAGACCACTAATATCAAACATGTCTCCAACATATACATGGCCTCTTGTGGTGTGTGGCGAGTATGAAAGATTAGGGGTGTGGTGGGGAGTGTGCGTAAACGTAGTTTTCCTGACATCTGATATTTGTGGGTTAGGTAAGATTTATGCACATTGCAGAGATTCTGTGGGAATTTCTGGTGACTATATTTGGGTCGCTTGGTTTACTTGACATGGATGAAGACTACGTGGGAATTGCGCTGTTGAGATCTAAGAATCTACAGACATGGCGTCACAGGAGCATATCCAAAATGCGCAGTCGGCCCACTGTACTACTGTCTAATTCGCCGGTCTGACCCCTATCCTGAACCTTGCATCCGACACCTTGCAACCCAAAGACAATATACCCCACAACCCAAAGATCCACCTTCCTGGTTGCCCATCTCTCATTTCCTCCTAGCTTCGGGTAGAACTCCACTGCGGAGCAATTTGCATCCGAACTGCAGAGGTCCTTTCGCAGAATTCAGTGTGAGAGTGGAGGAGCTGAGGGGAACGAAGGAGCGGATGATCTTATAGGATCTCTAGAGTCTGTAGAGTGAAGAGTCTTGTGTTTCGAGTTTGGTTTCAAGGGAACCGGTGATGGGGTCCAAAGTTTAGTCTGCCGGGTCTCGGCTTGGAGGCAAGATGCATGGAAGCGGAAGGGTTACCAGGTGAAGCTACTGCAGGGCTCCTGGAAGCAGACTCTGCCTCTGAAAAAACTAAACCAAACAAAGCCTGCGCAGTGACTTTTCCAGGTATCCGTTTCCTTTCCTGAACTCTAACCTTCTAAATCTAAACGCTAAACTCTATCACGAGATATTAGCTTGTGAAGCACAGCATCTCTTGAGGCACATCCATTGCATTTCTAGAACGAGGGCAGATCGAATAATCATCAACTCCAGACTAGACCCTCAACCACCAAAAATAAGATCGCCCTCTCATGCACCTCGAAGCGCCAAAAAACCGATGTCCCCAAATGAGCATCAGGGAGTCCTGGCATTCCTTGAGGGAAGCAGCACCATCCTTCGCCACACGCACCCTGGTCTTTGGCGCAGCTTTCAACCCGCTTGGGCTTAGGGATCCTGATTTAAAGGAGCACCAAAACGTGAGTAAAGCATCTTCACGCTAAGCCCAAAAATCCAACATCCTTACACTTAAATTGGACCAGCAGCATTGGGGCAACTTTCTCGCCAGCGCAGCTGGCTGCGAAGGGAACGTAGACCTCCCTGGTATGCAAGGAGCAGTCACGGCTGCAGTTGTCGAACTGAAAGTTGTTGCCATCCTGGGCTATGGTTTAAGGCTTGGTCTGGCACGCATCGCCGCGGAGTTGCGCTACCAACATGCAGGAAGCTTCCTCAAACAAATGATACCTGCAACAATATTAACGCCTGTTTTGAGCAAGCGTCGTCACAAGTCTCACTGCCCTGCATCACGCCGTCGCCACAGAGAGGCTCGCAACCGTCACCACCACATGCCTGAATCACGTGAGCAACGGGCTCCGATGATAGCTGGTGAGGTTGTGAGTGTTGATCCTGCTGTTCATGGTAATGCAGCTCCCTGGAAACATGACGTATCACGATCTATAGTCATATGAACTCTCGATCCACGCTTTGCCTTGAGCCCTGAACCTTACCTAAACCAGCACCCACAACCCGAACCCCAGTGACCTGCGTCGCCCTTGCCTAACTCCCCTGCTCATAAATTTATTCACATAGATGGCAATTTCTAAGCCCGAAGATTTAAACCACGATCCCGCATCCTGGACCTCAGTCTTTGAACCCAATCTCCCAATCCCTTAGGCCCTATGCTTGAGATTTCAGCTTCCAGAGCGCAGACCCCTAAAAGCTGAAACAAAAACCGAAGAAGGCCAGCTACCCAACCAGGCATAACCTGACAGCTTCCGCAGCCTTCCTGAGCGTTAGGCTTTGAGGCGTTGTGGGAATTTGCGCAGGGGTTCAACGCGGAGTGTGGAAAGCTCATAAAGATGATGGCAGCAGGGCTTTAGCAAGGCTTTGGGAAGTGCAATTTCAATTGGAGGGTGCAACGGCCTTGAGCTCCAGTCGTCTTTTGGGTTATTATAAGGCAATGTCCAATAAACGGGGGCCGATCCGTAGGGGGGCTGTTTGAGCGGCCAAGGGCCTTCGAAGAGTCTAGGCTGCATGAAAAAGGAGCGTGGATGTGTCTAAACACGTTGGTCCTGCTTGGTGTGTGTTCTTCTTTGTTCGTTATGGAGTGAAAAAACAGAATCAGGCTATGTTTCCGAAGACTGCGCTGATGTACACATTTCCCTGTAGAGTCTTTAGTCAGACTTGTCGCAGACCTCAACGAATTCAGCAATCCACATGGATTAGGGTGAAGGCTTACGGTTTCCTAAGCATTCATTGAAACCTGAGCATCATGCTAGACAACCTCCAAACTCGAAATGGCAAACTCCGACACTAAGAGTTAGCTACCTGAATTGTTCCATGCATGAACTCTATACGCTCAAAGAACTGAAACGAGTTGGTTCACGCCATCGGAACGGATGGCTTGTTTTCTAAGTTGATTCTCGGCTCGCCAAGTGAGCCCCTCCGAAGATCCTCCGGATTTCAGTGTTCAGAAATGCGGGGGGGGCGGGGGGGCCAGGGCTTGCTTAAGACGGTGGCTCTCCGATTTCATAACAGGCAAAGGTGTCCCCAAGTGTTCAACTTGCGACGCTGCGAAATCTGCTGGGCGTCTCCAGAGCTTCCCTCACACTCCTCGATACCAGTGATCTTGCCATCTCCTGAGCTAGGCTTCGGGATTTCGAGGTTTAGGGTTTTGGGGCAAGCAATCTCCAACATCCAAGGACTCCACATAAAGCCGTGTAATTCCAAAACTGTAAAGAAACTCTTTCCGGAGATACGGCAAGTCTCCACAGCTCTCAACGGCACCTTCCGTCGGGCATACCCACAACTCATCTGGATCCGTCACGTTGTAGATGGCCAAGGTGGTGTCCACCTGCTGAGTGCAGGTATGGGGCTCAGGGCCGCAGACTCAGCCCCAAACTAGAATGCCTGAACAGCCAGAATTGGGCTTGGAGGCATGCATACTCTGGTGACTGAGGACTTTATGGGACTGAGCCCGGAGCCCTAAACCTGAAACTCGGTTCCCCCACAAGAATCCCTTAGTCCAGGCCCTGCCTGTTGGGGCATGACAAGCCCTCCAGTCTGGGAGGCTGCAAAGACGGCTGAGTCTGGATCCTGGCTCGTGTGGAGGGCTAAGGGGTTGAAGGTCCTGGACTTAGGGTTCAGGCATTGGGGTTTGGGGATCAGGGTTTAGGGCTGAGTTCCAGGTCTAAACCACAAGGCTTGATTGTAGCCTCTTGGATACTATGGCTGCACCGGTCTGTGATAATCACTGTTGTCAGGTTCTTGTAAACCTAATTACTTCACATCTAGGAGGCCCCAGCCTACAGAGGGTTCCTAAGACACAAAAACCACAGACCTTGGGGCTCAGGCATCAGGAAGAAGGCGTAGCGGAGGTGAAAGGAAGCTTCATCGAGGATATTTAGGGATCAGCTTCGCTTGAGGGGTTTGCAGGGTTAAGGCTTGGAGCTTCCTGAGGGTCAAGGGCTTAGTGCTCCTGGTTTGGAGCATTGGGCTCTTCGGGTTTGGGAGACAGGCATTATGGTCTCTATCAGGCCGCATAGTGCAGGTGGGGATATCCCTCGAAGGGATGATATGCTTTGGGAATGCCACATGATACCTGAAGGCTTCACCCCGACCCTTCAACATCAAGTCTCCACGATGCAGTCAATGAGACCCCACACATGAACACATCAGATGCCACGACCCGACCCTTGCAACAAAATCACAAGCTTCTCGATCTTAAGCCCTCCTCTCTGACTCGCCGACTCTCGGGGCCTTGGCACCCAGGGGCACCTTCCACAGATTGCAATCAGCGCCTGTCAAAGGCTTTACCCGGAGGGCAAACATTATTTTGCTTTTTAGCGCTGACAGGCAAGGTGCGTTTGGGCTAGACCTGATTTCTGGCGTTTAGGGCTTCCGGGCTCTTAGCCCTTACGAATCAGACCAGTGGTCTGAAAGCCAAGCGCAACATGTGGCAGCGTCTGTCAAGGATGACAATGAGACCACGATGCTCTTACTGCAGAGGTATGGTTCCTCAATTACCAAATAGGACTGCTTGCCAGGGTCCTTCTCGTCAAATTCAGATCCTGCCTCCAGCCTACAGTAGCTCAGGAGCCTGGATAACCAGAACTGGGTCTGAGGGCACCAGAAAGGCATAATATTCCTTACTGTATAATCAGACATCTTCATGAGGAGTTTCGATTTGGCCTTGCTTCTTTTACTGCAGGGCCCTGAGTTCATCGCAAAGCACAACTCCCAGAGACCGAACCCTCGGGCATACACGTCAATCAAGCAAACACGGAAACGAGCCCTTGTGGATCAGTGTCAGCCCATCGTAAGGAGAAGGCAGAGGCCTGCGCAGAAGAAGCCAAAACGAGTAAAGGTCTCCTCCTTTGAGCTCTCGAGCGTCAGGCCCAGTGCCTCACCTGCAGGTCTGCACGGACTGTTGCGTGGTCATACCGTCAGTTTCCTGCATGAAAGCCCACTTGTAAAGACTAAGCCCAACTTATAGTTCACTCCCGTCTTGCCTCTTCATCCCCTGTAACCAGCACACTGCACCTAGCAACCCAAAAATTTCACCTTCCCTACCCCAACTCTCAAACTGCCGGCAGCCCAATACAAGCGCGCGACAGCTTCTACAAGGCCAGATTTAGATACCAAGCCCGTCCAGTTTCTGCAAGCCCGGATTGAATCAACATGCAGGAAATCCAGACAGCCCTCAAACTTCTGGTTCAGGGCCCAGGCAAACCAAGACCTCAAACCCAAATAGGAAACCTCAGCGCTGCAAAAAGAAAGAAAAAGTCACATCCGATTCCCCAACACCGCATGCTTGCCCTGCAGAATTCCTTCAAACCTCCTTCAAATGATGGGAAGCCACTAGATCAAAGCTCAAACCCTCTTCCATTCCATACTGAAGAAGCTCATATTCCTGAAGTCACCTGGAAACTGAGAACCCTACGAATGATGGAGCTTAGCACTACCAACGCCAGGTTGTTGCCCAGGGACTGGACACAGCTTTGGAGGCGGACTCCTGCAGCACCTCCAAGGCTTCGGTGGCTTTCCATTTGTCGATTTTCCATCACGCTTACTATTTCCCCACCACCTCAAAAAACAACCATGTTCAGAGACGTGCTCAATGCTCAAAACTGCTAGTACAGACGATGACTCTGATGATGAACCCCATCATAAGCAAGCACTTGTAGAAGCATCGGCATTCTGCAAAACACTTGCTGTGTTGTATGGTTCTTTTCAAGGTGTAGGAGTTGAGAGTTCTCGCGCTTTACAGCTTTAAGCTCAGCTGATGCAGGCTTGGTGGTTGGGATGCTGAAAGGACCAGCACCCACACTGAGCAGGAGCCTTGTTCAGGTTGTCGGATGGGTACTTCAAATACAAATTTAAGGCTACCCGCACCCAGGAGACTCCTAGAACGAAGATGCCGGCGGCAAAAAATATCAATTTCATGTGGTGAGAGGTGCATGGTCTTCCCTAAGCCCTAACCGTGAAGCGCTAACCCCAAAACCCAACAGTCCCCACATCCAGGCCCTCTGCCCCAACACCCACAAGCCCAAACCGCACCAGCATTGAGGGATGTCTTGAGATTTAAGGTTCTCTGGAGCCTAGCTTGGGGTTGTCCGGGTTTGGAATTTTGGGCTTCTGGTTGAGGACTTGGGGCTTAGGGTTGGGGAATCAAGCTTGGTTGCTTAGGTTTCAGAGTCTGGGGGCTCCCGGCTTAAGTCCCTTGATGAATGCAACTTAAACAACTCCAGAAATCCGGTAAACCCAAACCGGGCGTTTTGTTTGTTGCAAGCTACCATGCCCTGTGGAATCTACCTTTCAAGGTCTCGCACTGCCCATTCAATTCCATGCATGAAGCACGTTGGACAACAAGAGCCCGAAACAATCGCGGAAACTAAGAAAGGACTCTCTGAAGGCTGCTATCTGGTTCTGCAAGCCTGTAAGCTCTCGTTTGCCATTTCAGCAAGAGGTAGGATATGTCGACTCCAAACGTGCAACTTGCTATTAGACCCGGTGTCAACCATCTTGTCCTTTTAAAGGTAGACGCTACGTTGGTTACAGTAGTTTTGGGGTGGCTTAACAATTGCAAGCAAGGAGTTCTGAAAAGCAAAACCCGCTTACTTGAGGAACTGCCTCAGGCGCTGAAAGAACAGCTTTCGCATGAAAATCCCATGAAAGGCTTTCAGAGGATATGTTGGCACTCCTGAGAAAAATGAATTCATCCGGTAAGGCAAACTCCACCCTGAGCCCAAACTCCAAATCACCCAAACCCTAAATCAACAAAGAGGGGCTCCACCTAAATCCCAAGCCCAGGAAAAACGTTGCACCATGCAAGCAATGTGGGGGCGTGCCTTCTGCAACGTGTCTGTGGAAACTTTGATGTTGTGCAGGACGACAGGCTTGTTCTCCTTCCACGTTTGTGCGCTCTGGGTGCCAAGGCAGATGCAATAACTTTTGAAGTCTGCCACTCACTTGGTGGTGACAAAAGAGGTCACGAGACGAGGCTACTCAGTAAAGCAGCATACAAATATCCGCTGCGAAATCTGTACTAGAATGTCCGAAGCAACAACACAACAGGATCCACGTCTTAAGCTTCCAAGGGTCGCAACGTGAAGAAGATCTCCGACTTCGAAGCTTCTTACAGTCACTACATGATGCTCGGACAATCGCAGAAATCCCTGATAGCCCTCTAACTGATCTTCATGTCAGAAGCTACTTGAGGGCACGTACGCCAATCCTCCAAAAACACAATGCTAACAATACACTGTTGTAGTGAGCGAGTAGGACGAGCAATTCGAGTCAAAAACCAAAACAGCATAGAGGCAATACAAAAAGTTTGAGGAGCAGCATCAGAAGTCAACTAAGTGACAGGCAGCGGAGGGGGAAGAGTTCCCCGGCATAACCCGGACATTCCGTAGAAAGCTGCAAAAGCTCCTTGAAAGCCGCCAGGATGTAGCCAGAAGCTCCTCCACAATCCGTGAGAACTTGCTCAGCGGTCCTCAGTCAGTGTAAGATTCAGGGTTTTAGGGCTTCCGGGGTGGGTTTGGGCATTGAGGCTTGTAGGACTTGCTGGTCTAGGATTGTAGGAACTTGACCACGGCGCATCATCTTCAGCGTTCAGGGTTGGGGTCAGATGACCTGAGCTGGGAGTTGCATACCATGCTATATGCCGGGGGCAAGAACCCAGGCGTAGGGCCACGGGCGAGGGTCCAAAGGTCAAGCCATCTCTACTCAACATATCCAACTCCACATGCTTTTTCACCGCCAAGGAATTCCAAACGAGGACTACCTGAATCCTCGTGCTAAGTTGAATCTTGAGCCCTGAACCCCTTACACCCAAGATTTGCAGAGGTCGCTGCAAAGCCTGGCGTACACTTTTGAGATCTGCAGTTAACCCTATAGAGCCCTGAACATACCCCTTAGGGGCCCACAGCTTAAGGACATCCAAAAGAGCAGCGGCCACAATTTCCAAGCTTGACCAAGGCTCGGCGTGGTACCACTGCTGCCGATCTCAAGGGGACGATGCGGGGCAATTGGGGTCAGCTTTTGCTGGAATTTATGGGCATGGGGTTTAGGGTGTGGAGTTGGCGGTTTATGGTTCCAAGGGTCCAGGGTTGGAGTTTTCAGGGTTGCCATTTAGGTGGTTTCTCAATCCAGATCAAAAAAAGCGCACAAGGTAGCTCGAATCCCACGACTTCTCACATGACAAAGTGGCTTAAGGTCCTGGAGTCTCGGGATCAAGCAGCCCGAGTAGGGTTTTAAGTCTTCAGCTTCTCCGACCCCAAGAAAGCCACATATGGGGGATCCTGCCATACCTCAAATGTTCCTTGCATGGCTCGACTTTGGACATTCTCGTTTTCGCTTGCATGAAGCTTACCATATTCTGATGATTCTGGGAAAAACTCTGGCTTCAGGACCCTGACAACGACGATTCCTTGTTTTCAACCCATGTGACACTTGTACGCTTTTGGCGCCTGCCACGAGAAACAAGGTTGGATGCCGACGTCAGGCAGGCCGTCACCAGCTGACGCCTTGCAAGAGGGGAGAGACAGCATGAACGACCCAGGATTTCGGATTGAAGGTTTGAGCTTTTGGGCTTGAGTTTGGGGGTTGGAGTTAGGACTCGGCGTTCAGGACTTAGGGTGGAGGAGTTGGGTTTCACGGCAAAACGCTTTTTCTTTCCTTCTGGCAGTATAGTGGCGCATGCTTGCAAAACTTCTCTGGAGGATTTTAACTGGTGTAGGGTTGGGAAACCCCCTGGGCCCTGGGACAAACAACTAGGCAATCGGGCTTCCGGATCACACCACGGGGTGGCAAAAGCAGCTGTGAAACTCAGAGATGATAGCCTTGAAAACTTCAAAAAACCTTTGAAAGACTAATGCACTAAGTGACTCGAAGTCTGCTCCTGCGCACCCTCTTCAGGAGGTCTGTACATTTGTGGAATTTCTGAGGCTAAGCATACAAAGATGAAATGTAGGATCTGCTGCAATACAAAACATACACATTCCTCAAAGAAAGGACTCTTTATAAGGCCCTTTGCAGGCTCTGTTTGGGAGAGGCCGACCTCCCCCAGACTTTTGGGGTTGTTTTAGCTACCGTCGTCACTAATGACCGCAGAGGTTTTCAATGTTTCTGAGGGTTCAAGGATTTCGGTGCAACATGAGCATGTGGTGACCAGCGCATAACGTTCGTGTTCCAAGAGCATCCGGTGACTAGAGCATCCATGCCCAAACCATAATAACATTCGTGTTCCCAGAAGAGTACGGTGACTAGAGCACCCATGCCCAAACCATCATATCGTTCGTGCTGGACAAAGTTGATGGTGCATGTCAAGATCTTTGCCTACCGGCACAACAATGGCCCTGACCTTTGGTCTATGGGCAAGCAGCTGGCAGCGCGCGCAAACGGCAAGTGAAAACATTTTCGTGTAGAGGTACTTTTCGCTGTGCACCAGAATCCACTGTAGAACGCAGTACATCGCGTACTTGATGAGCAGGAATAGTGGAAATACCAGTAAATTTGGCTCATGCCTTTCACCTCCACTTTTTGGACATGCGCTCAAAACCACCATGAAACGCATTTTTTCATTTACACCTCCCGAGTGCAACGTGCTGAAACTGCGCGGTAGCTAACCACGACGGTACCTTGTTTTAGAGGCTGTTGTTTAGGTGTCCCCAAAAGCCTAGGTGGCTTGCATAAGGTCTAAACAACTTCAGATCCTCAATTTTGAGACACGGAAAAAGGCTTGCGCACCTCTTCCCCTCCGCAGGTGCAGCACTGGGCTTTGCCTAAGAAGCTCTGCTTCAAGAGCGTGGGGTTCTGGGCTTTGACGGTTGTGCTTTAGGACTTTAAACCTTTTTCCTACGTCCTGACCCTACGCAAACCTCGGATTTAAGGCATAGGGTTTGGAGCGTTTTGTGCACAACCGGGGCAAAGTTTTTTTGGCGGATAGGAAAACCATGGATGAAGACACAGCAAGCCAAAGAACCTCTCGAACTCACCTTAGCCCCCACAAAACAACGCCAACCCAACCAATCAAACATAAGACTTAAGTTCTGAACCCCGATATCCAAAAAAAAACTGAATCCCCAATGCAGGCCCCAGAACCATGTTCATCCCAAGCCACAGGTGGGGCCCTTGCAGAGGAGTGATTCTGGCCATGGTTTCGGAGTACAGGACTCTGGACATGTGTAGGTTGCACATGACCTAGGTTCAGGGGGGTTAGGGGTTAGGATTGCAGATCAAGTCAGTTCAGAGGCTAGGGTTCGGAATGAGGGATTTTAGGCTGTCAAGGTCGAGGGCTTCGGCTGGGTCTTGATGGGGTGAACAGGAGCCTTGCAGGGGCAAAGACTTAACGCAGAAATAGTATGGAGATCATACACCTGGTCTCCGCTCCGCGGTTACAACGCAAGCTCGCACAATACCAGTTCCTTCAGCCGTCCAATATTCCTGTTCATATACCTGAGCAAAACCTTTTCTGAGCTTTGCAGGGTCTCGTATTGGGTCTGAGGGGCATGTTTAAGCATTGGGGTGAAGGGTGTGGGGCTTAAGGTATTGAATGAAGGTCCAGGGAACTTGAAATGGTCCCGATGGGGATGTGCAGGAGAAGAATCTTCAAACAGAGCCTATGTCCGGCAGATACAAGCCCAAGGGTGTTGATTGTGCCTTGACGCACAGGAAGAACTCCAGAAGCTTTTGTGAGATGTGCCACTCCAAGGGCCGCAAGGATATATGGGCTCAGAAAGAGTTTAAAGCGTGCTTCTTATGAATCATATGTGGTTTTCTCTGCTAGGTACGGTTTGAAAAAACCGTATTTGGAGACTCATGGGCCTGCATGACTGCATTGGCAGAAAGATGCTGAATCTGGCAGAGAACCTGCAAGCGGGATCTGCTGAACAGTGTTACCATGAGCTTGGAAACGTATTCAAGGTAGGGTTCCTCTAAATATCACGGAGAATAATCGGATCCTTACTACAGGAACCACATCAAAGGCGCCCTTTTCTGAGATTTCCTACCTAAATACATGTACCCTGTCTTATGCAGTCATGTTCAAATCATCTTCTATCCCTGTATATATATATATATGTATACATATGTCCTCTTACATTCCTATATATCGTTCTATATCCCCTATACAATCCCTATATAATCCCTGCGGGGCCCTATTGACATCACCCAACAAGGTCTACCTTGGCGAAGCTGAGGCACGCAGAGCCCACCAGTATCCTGGCTATGCTCTCAGGATTACTTTTCCAAGAGTGCACACGATAGCCTAAGGTAATTCGAGTATGGGCGACGTAGGAACACGTTTTGAGTTCTCCATGCGCTCCGTTTTTTGTCTGTAAGGTAACAGAATTTGTCCAAAAAACATGCGCCTACTCCGCGGGAAGAGTACTTCCCTTGTGATGGCAAGGCTTCTATTTGGCCAATCGTTGTTGGACAGCACTTGTCTTGATGCTCCAGGACAAAATTGACGCGCCAGCCCATGACTGCTAGAATTCGCGACAAAAAGGAAATACCCTGCTTGCTGGCATCGTGATCACTCCTTGCAACAATCCTACAACCCTTTACAACAAAAAGCTACAAACCCTCAGGCGCTTATCAACTTCTCAGAACTTCAGGCGCAATCGCCAACCACAGCCACTTCCTCATGACCCCTAGAAATCAGCCTGGCGCTGCGATCACAGCCCTTACGGCCTTACGTCAGCGACCATCATGCATCTTTCTCTGAAGGAGATGCAGACAAAGACAAACAAGGACTTCAGTTACTATACCGCGAACCCTAAACCTTCAATCCGATGACGTAAAACCGTTTCCACATTCCCGATTGAGACAGGTAGACCATGCGATAAAGCTCACGTGATCCCGTGCTTTGCAATAGACAAAGGCTCCCTCATCCCCTACCCTGAACCCTGCACCACAGCATCATAAAACTGAAGTTGCTCATCAAGTATCGGTACGGGAGCCCGGAGGCTAGTTCCCTGCACTGGCTCGTGGAGTTGCGGCAGCTCCTGCATCACGGGTTAAAACTTGGGTTCTTGGAACAAAGCGCCTTGCTATAAGGGCCTGCTGTTCCAAGGCGTGGCGCTCAGGATTTGTGAGCTGTGTGTGTGTGTTGTTTTTTTTTTTTTCCGCTTCATGCCGTGTCGGTTAGTGCCTGAAACTTGTTCACGTCGTTCTCATGAGTTAGGTTGCCTTTGATGCATATTACCAAGCACGCGCTGTGCAGTTGCCTGATAGCGTATCCCCAAGCGGAGTTGCGCCCATGTCATGAAACATGCATGCTTCAGCAAGTCCACACAGATTACATTCAGTGCTGGCAGTGGCATGAAACAAGGATTGCTCTGCTTCTGCCAATTTGGTGCAGTTAAAGGTGAACCCTTTTTTGAGAAACATCAGTGTGCACTGATGAAAATATGCTTTACACTGCAAGGGCCGTGAACTCTGAGTCCCGAAGCCCAAATCCTGAGCCCAAATCCTAAACCCACATCCTCATCACAAAATACGAAACTCTGAACCCTGAATCCTAAACCCCAAACCCAAGAAGCTCCAGGTCTCTCTGCAGCTTCTTCGTCAGGATGCTATGCACCGTGTCATCCTTCACTTTCAAAGGTGGATCTTTTCAAAACGGCATTTCCCTACATAGTCCCCCACATGAATATAAACCTTACTAGAAGGGTTCCCCGTGTATGATCTCATCAGCGAAATCTTTGTTATACGACCTCAAAAAGATCCGCATTACCTCTTTCAGGGCCTCGGGGATTTAGAGGTTTTCTGCGTCATAGAGTTGGAACCTCAGCTCCTCGTGCCAGCCCTACGTAAGGGAATTAATAAGTATAGAGGGAACATAAGCCCTGCACCCCTAACTTTAGACCCTGAACCCTAAGCAATCGTGGGGATGAAATGAAGTGCGCGGGAAGGACAGGTCACAGACAAGGATCGTGTCGTCGGAAGAGCTGAGCAGGGTAGGACTCCTTGCGATAGCAGAAGGCCTCCGCCTGACAACTCGAAGAACCTGGGCGAACAGCAGGTGCATGAAGAATCCAATACGGCTTTATAAGCATTATACGCGGGAACAGGATTGTCAACTGCAGGGAAATTGATGGGCACTTAGGCCTGCACTTACGGCGGAATGCTGACCGGGAAGAGTTCAAGGTTTTTTGTTCAGTAGGGACGCTCAGTTTCAGCTCCTTCAAATCCAAAGAAAGAAAATCTGGTGAAGGCTCCACAGGACTTGGCTCTCAGTCTTGAAGTCTTGTGCTTAGAAAATTCTTTCAAGATATTGCTGCTGTCATGTTTGCAGCTACATGTGAGAGACAGAGTAGGAGTTTTGCCACAGAAGCTGAAGCGTTTCGGACTTCTTGGGCAACTTAGCAGCCGTGGAGCCGGAGTAGCAATTGAGATCCAGCGCTCAAAACTGCATTATATGCCGCCCCTGTTGACACACCTGCAAAATCTTCTTGTGACCCCGAGGGCCCATCGCGTGGCAAATTATCTTGCACCACGAACAAGGCAGATTTGGCAACATGCTTTGGGGCACCAATTCAAACCCAAATCTTCAGCCTCAGACATCAGAACTCCATGACCATCATGGGGCACTAGTAGTCTTTAAAAACGTGTGTTTCTCGAAAGTGGTGGCTGTATCTGCCCAGCTTTGCTGAGATGATAGAGACACGTAATCTGGGCCGTGTTCTGCAGCTTGTGAGCCCAGTTGACAAGCAGGCGAGCAGGCTCAAGCAGGCAGATTCTTGACCGCCAACACATGCCCAACAGGATGCCCCGCCACCCTGTCCAAACGCAATTTTCTGGAACTACCAGAAGGAGCTCTGTGGGCTTAACGTTTGCAGGCTTGGGGCTGATGATTGAAACTGACCTCCCGGCCTTAAAACCTTCCTATCAATCAGAGACCTTACTATGGATTCCCAGCTCAGGGCTACATGAAGCACACCGCTCTAAGCACACAACGTATCCTGACCCCTTACCCTAAACTGTAGCCCTAAACCCTCGATACTAAACTCTGAGCTCTAAGTCCAAGGCTTAAATTCCCAACCCAAGAGAGCCACCGACCTACAGTTGCAGTCAGCAGTAGGTAGACTGCAAGTCACTGGAATTTAAAAGTAAGCATTTTCCTTACAGCTTTAAAGCCCCTCAGGGTTGAGCAGGGGATCAGAGAACTCATTCAGTATATGGACAACCCTGCAGCGAACCCTACTGTACATGCTGCCCTCGTACTATGGCACTCGCAAAGAGAATAGTGCAATCTTGACGACCCGTCAAAATGCAACATTTCAGGTTGTACCCTTCAGCTATGGGAATCTTTTTGAACTCCGCAGCCAGGGAACAACCATCCCCGGACTGCGTGTTGCCGTCGTCGCACAGCTCCTTCCCGGCCAAGATGCCGTCGCCGCAGGTTGTGCTGCAGGGCTCGCCTAGCAATTTCAAGGTTACAGGCTTTCAGTTGGCGGTTCAAGGTCTCACGTCTTTCTGGCTGAAGGTTTCGAGCTTGGGCGTACCTATCATCCTTCCTTCCGGGATTCAGTATCGAGACTTTGAAGTTTGAGGACTGGGGAGTGGGTTTAAGCTTCTGGCATGAAGCAAGAATGGGAACTCAGACTAAAAGTTTCACGGTCAGAAATTGATCCATCATCCACACCTCCTCGTAGGGGGAGGAATGCCTCGGCTTAGGGCATGAAGTTGGTGTGCATAATCAATGAATGGCCTAGGGGCAAGAGTGTAGGCTCTCTGGCTTCAGATCTCGGGTTTAGGGGTGTAGGAGTAAAGGCTTGAATTTTTAGGGGTGGCTTCAAGGTCAGCTTGGCGGACCAGAGCCTGATCAGGTCAGCATGAGAAGGGTCAGCCCAGGAAAGTCTGAGGCAGCGTCTAAGCTTGACATGGGGCTCTTCTGCGCTGGGTGGAATGACTGGTCGGTATCTTCGTCAATGAGGAATCTCCATTGTAGCCATGCTCCGATCCCAATAGTATGATAATTTCCATCCCTAGACAACCAGTAAATGTAATGCTGGATGTGGAGCACGAGCCCTGCACATCACATATGCAAGAATGGATCCAGTAGGACTTGCCCACCGTGTTTGTTTAGGGTCCAGGCTTTCCCATGTGTTCCCTCCTAGCAGCCCCATCTTCCCAAGCCGCCGAAATCATGGCCGCTTGTTCCTAGCGTTCCTGAAATTTCTAAAAGTACCGATCTCCTGTTCGGAAGAAGCACAAATTCCGGAGATGTGTTGATGTATGAAGTCTTGGGATCCTTCGTCTATGGGAAATTCAGAACTTATGAAACGAAGAGGTCATTCAACAGCCCCTTCCCTCAACCCCGAACCTTAAACTTAAACCGCAGCCATTCCACCGCCACCCCTTGCCTGCAGAGCACGAAAAACCAGGGCTGATGTGGCGACAGTCCGCTGAGCAGCCTTAGCTTGTTTCAGATGCAGTGTGTTAGGATTAAGAGCCTGGGTCTCTCTGAAGCAAGCATGGAACTGCAGAAGGGGTGGCAACAGGACTATCATTCTTGAAAACAACTGCAGGGGGTTCCATGTTTGCTCGGGGAAGCAATGCAAATGGATTGGACTTCAGATCGTGATACAATCAATTCAGGTCCCTGGGACGGTGGATTGGCAAAAATAACCATCACTTCAATGCTGATCCACTTTTAAATACCTGATACGACCCAAAAAACCAAAGCTCCCCTCTACTAGTAGCCGACGTGCTTCGGCAGACGGATCTTTGGGGGAAGGGTTGTGCTGAGGAGAAGGTGTTACAACAACACGAATCCGAGGTCGCGACCGTCATTGCCAAGAGAGTTGCCATCGTCGCATGCCTGATCCCATTTGAAGGCTCTTGAAAATCAACTTTGGTGAGTCGGTAGATGTTACATAGGGATCAGCATGTTTGAGCAGTAAGCGCTTTCTACAAAAGAGCCACTTGCAAGCCATAGACCGTAAAACCTCCCATCATCAAACTGACCCCAGATGCTTCCCATGGATCAAGATGGCCGTCTCCACATTTGCCGCCCGTCTGCGTAACGAACCATTGGGTCCAGAACCTCTAGGGCTTCGGTTGAGAGTTCAACATCCTTGAGGATCCAGGTGTCTGGGCTCCCGGAAATTGTATCCAACAAGTCACGGGAGGAATTGCCATGCCACCAAGCACATTTTTTGCCTTTTAGCTTGTGGCTTTCGTGTCCAAACCTCGGTTTCCGCTCCTTATCCCAAACTATAACAAAAACGACTCACAAGGGCCCGCATCATAATCCTGAGAATGACCGAAACATCCGGAAAATCAATGCTTCATCTTTTGAAGCTCCAACAAGAACCCAAAACACCTGGCTCAGTCTCAGGGAGCCCTGTGCATGAAATCTTGAAACCCTGCCATAAGCCTGAGACATTTGCCGAATCCCTTCATCTAGGCCATGCCTCTGGGCGGCCCGCAACTGCGGGCTGCCAACTCTGCCCCCACTTGCACCCTGTACCCACAACTCTGCATCCAACATGGCTGACAAAAAACATCCTTGCATGAAGCCTGCTGTTGACATGCCAGCCCAGCAACGCCAAGTCTGACACGGGCATAGGCCGATGCACAGCTGACCAAAGGTCTAGTGCCTAAGTTCACATTGTGGGCTTTCGAGTCCCTAAAGCATCGGGCTTTCGGTGTAATGATGCCTTTAAAGATGCTTGAGGCTTTGGGTTTCATCATTCACGTTTTACGCTTCAGGATTTGAAGGAAAGCAGTTTGAAACTATGCTTCAGATTATCAACCGTATTTCCTAAACGACCTCTGCATGATTCCCGCATAGCATTCCAGATGCAAAAACCCTAACAAAGAAAGCCTCTGAAACCTTCAACAAGCACCCCATAAAAATAACCTCAAGACCCATCCACATCTACCCCAGGCGCTACGTCCGAGCCCTCCTGGCAAACCTCGGCTTTGGATGAAGCGGCGCTTTCCAGGATGGGTATGGAACTCAGGCCTGCTACCGGCAGATAAGACTTTAGTGGGGCGTGCAAGTCAAACCTATGGTGGTTGCAATGGAGACGGTTCACGATGCAGGAACCAGGTTTCTTTCATCAGCTGACGCTGATACTACAGTACCTTCATGGACCCTCCCGTCTCCTGCCGAGGAAAGAGAGTAAGGTGCGTTTGAAAAAATGGCAATTGAAGAAAGAGATGGGCCTATGGCATCGCTAGCCGCGGTGTCGGGAGACAGCGCCGCACGCTGCTCAGGGAAAGGGAAGTCTTGGGGCAAGGCTCACGTGTTGTTCTCTGACGGGCTTTAAGTTTAGGGTCTGGGGTTTAGGATGAGTTGTGTAAGATGCTGATCACTACAATTTTTGGGTGCGACAGATTGACTGATCATTCAGTCCTCTACATGGCAAATCTCACGAAAACCATCTCCAGCCCCAAGCCCACCCTCAACCCCTTCCAACCTCGTCGTAAATTCGAAACTTCAAGAACGCAGCAGAGGAGCGCTGCCCCGGTGCTTGCAGCTGCCCTCTGCCTTCCGGATCATATCCAATTTGCATGCTTCCAAATTGCGATCCATTCTGGCTGCTCCACCAAAGACAGTTGTGCTGTACAAGCTGGGACATGCATTTGGGCACCTACCAGAGACCTATTCTGCGTCCGTTCTGAGCCAACCTGAAATACTTTGCCTCTTCTAACTTCTAAACCCTGACCTCGAAAACTCGTGCCCTAAATAACCTCCAACCCTCCGTTAACCTCAACGCCATCAATCCTGCGGCCTTGCCGTCCGCCCCAATGCGCGCGGCGCAGAAGCAGAAAGCCTTGTCGGGCAGCCCCTCGGCCGCTTTCTCAAAAGGCCGGATGACCTCAGGCAAGTCTTAGGTCCAAAATCCTCAAAGCAAAGCCCAACACTCACAACCCTTTGCCTGAAGCGTGGTACACCCCTACATACCCTCTATACCCTGTATACCCCCGCACACCCCTGCATACCCTTGCATAGACTCATGAGCCCGTGAACATACCCCTACATACCCAGCTGCTTCCCCAAAGGGCCCGTCCTCCCAGGTTGGCTTCCCTTGCGGCAGTTTGCACGCGAATGCGCGGCCTTCAACTACCAGGTTCTCAATGAATGCAGGGCTTATGGTTTGAGAATTGGTGAATTTCAGAGATTATGGTTGAAGGATTTAAGGCTAGTGGTGATTGCAAGGACTTGGCAATTCGGGCAGTTCGAGCGAGGGCAGGGATCCCACTCAAGGAAGGGATTTGTGGATTGCAGAGGTCACGATGAAGAACATCGTTTAAAAAAAAACAAGCATGGCGCACTACCTAGCAGCCTTTGAAAGGATTGCAATCTGTTGAGGGCCTTGGACGGGTTGAATGCAAGCTTGTGAACGTGCCAAACACTCTCTCTTAACCAGGATCACAACATCTCTAACACCTGGTTGAAGAATGACATGTAGCGCTACCTACACTGGGAAGCCAATAGGAAACCTTCTTTAATCACCACTCCCTGACCTTGACACTGCCTGGCGCCGGAGGTGATCACGGTTTCCAGTGGACAGTAGGCTTTGCATTGCCTCTGAATCCTAGACCCCCGCAAAAAACTAAAGCCTAAATCCCTACACTTGCCATGAAATCTCTATACGCTGCTTGGCAAAGCTTTTCAAGCATGAAAGGCCCAGTCTGCCATGTCTGAACACTTCAAAGCCTCCATACTCTGAGGGGCCCAGGGAAACATCGAACCCAGGCACTGCAACACCTTTGAAAAAGTCCCATGGCGGCCTGAGTAATCCATCAGATGAACTACGAACAACCAGGACACAACTACACACTGGAGGGGGGGTTGGTACTACGATTTCTTAGATTCTTCAACTGACCCAAAAACCCTAAACCCTGAACTCAAGGCCCTACACCAGAAACCACTAGGCTCTAAGCCCTAAACCCCACGACACAAGGACCTGCCTGGAAGTTTCAGAAACTCACGGCTCTCGCTCGTCAGTGCATCGGGTAAGGGCTGGCGGAGGTCGATTTCCCAACCTGAACAGGGAATAGAATGGATGGATGGCTAGAGGTTTAGATTCTACAGATTCCGGGCATGTGAAGTTCTGCGGGATAGGGAGGCATGTGGCGGGCTGAGGGCTTTGGGATTAAATTCGTGTGTTGGGGCTTTGTCAGTCTAGCTTGATGTTCACATTTCCGGGCTGGTGTCGGGGTGGTGGGGGGGCTTGAGAACTGCAGCCATCCAAGGCTGTCATCAGGGTCGCGCAAGGTTTCAATGTCTGATTTTTGCCAGTTCCAAGCATTTTGGCTTTCGGGACGCAAATTCCTAAAGCGCAAATGATCTCAGCTTATATTATCAACCCAAAGACCCCAAACTCCATAAAGAAGGCACCCCTCAGAAGACAGGTAGTCCTTTTTAGGGCTCTTTGTGTTATTAGGCATTAAACTGAGTGCGCCCGGTGATTGCCCGCCTGAGTGCACTCCAGTTTTGGGCAACAGCGCCTCTGGGTTCTCGAGGACCACCAGCACTTCACCTAGAACTTGGCATGCGGAACTTTCTCAGAATTAGAGTTCAAAATGCATGGCAGCCTTTGAACGTGAAGACTGCTAAACTTTGGCGACTAGTACTTGAAGACGTCAAGCTTCACCAGGACAGAAGAGTTTGACCCTAAAGAGCTTACTGTCCCTATTGCTTTCTGTTTTAATCTTTTCTGTAGAGCTGCGATGCTAGTCTCAGGCTGGGGAAGTCTGCCACTAGACGCAACCTCGCAAACTTTAACCTCAAACCCCATTCTGCAAAGCTTCCAAACATTCAACACCCAAAACACATCTTGGACGGCAATCCTGGAAGTACATTAAGCCGTACCAGCTCTGCCATCAAGTAGCTCTTGTCCGGAAGAGTCCTAGGTGAGCATTTTGTGAAGCAGCCTGTTGTCCGTTCATGGAAATATTGCAAATCGAACCCGCCTTTTGGACTAACTGACAGGGCTTCATAGTGCTGAGGTGCAAGAGTGGCTTGAGAGGTGAGATCTAACGATGCAAGGTGTGGGATTCAGGTGCTAACGCATTATGGTACGAGGTCTAAGGTCCGGGTGTTCATTGACTTAGGTTATATGCGAAAATCATGCCTTACCCCTACCAAACAAGCCATCTCCACATTACGTGTTGTAGCTGGCTTGCAAAATGTGTGAGGAGTTCTGAAGGGATTACAGTATGTATCCCGTCGTGGTAGCTGTGCGCCTGCATAATCCCAACGCACACGCATGTCAAAACCCCATCTAACACCTCATCCCGACCCCTTGCCCCCAAACCCTTTTTCCCAGCCAGGGCTCATTTTGTCCCAAGACACCAGGCTTACCGTGGAGGTAGACGGAACCTTCTGGAGGATGGCAGAGATACAGCCTGGGTTCTGGGCTTAGGGATTCAGGGGCTTAGGGTGTGTTGAGGGATTTAAGGACTTTGAGTGTCGAGCTGCAGTGTCCAGTGTGGCCCATGGATTACGGTCTATCGCTTTGGGTATCGGGCTTGGGCATTGGGTTCTTAAGGGTCTTTGAGGTTGAGGAGTTCTGGCAATTGGCTTCCTGGGATGAAGGGTTTGGTTGGGATCTTGCGCGGACTTTGTTTTGTTGTCGCGCCTCTGTTCAGCAGGGACAGCACCGCATGATAGGCGCACCTTGATGCTGAGCGTTTAGGTCGGGTTCAGTAAATGGAGTTCAAAGTCTCTGGTTTAGTGCTCGTATGCAAAAAAAGCACTGCTGTGGACCGGCTATTCGCTGCTTATGGCCTTGCTGCTGGTTTGACATGGGCTTGAAACGCTTGAAATCGGGCATAGCTGCAAGAGGTTGTATGCCTGCGGTGTCGTTTGAACCCAAGGGTTACCTCGTGATGCTTTCACTAGTCAAGATCCGAAAAACACGGTCATTCCTTGCAAAAATGAAAAAATGAGTGGTTCAATATTTCCTGCACCCCCGATATTTGTTGCCATGATCAACCATTTATGGCCGCCTAACATCTGCAGTTATATCATTGTCTATATGGCTGTAAGGAACTTTCCAAAGACCAAGGCTCGATCTACCCTCGAGCAGTATAGTCAGGATGCTTCCCCTCAGAACTACCAATAGCGTGCAAAAAGGACCCCGCTGATGATGAGAAACCCCAACCCCAAACACTAAACCCTAAATCCTCATCCCTAGACCCTATACACAACCCTTGGGGGCCATGCATTCCGAAGACTATTGCTTCACGCGCCTTGTAACACTCAACTACGATATACCACTAGTAGCGTCACCCGGAACCCTAGATTCTTAACACCACTTTTCGGAGATGCACCGCTTTGTGAAGCTTTGATATATGAGGCCATCTGCACAAAACAAGGAGCCGTTTGGAACTGGGCATAGCTCTGGCAAAACTCGGCCCAAGAGTTTGCTATACCTGGAGGGCTCAAGCTTGCCGGCTTGCGATATGGAGGTTCTTAACAATCAGACATCCATTTTGGGGAGTCCTCGAGAAAAATAAGAAGATGTGGGTGGATAAGGAGGTTTCCCTGGTTGTTCGGGCCAGGGATTTGGGCATCGAGGCTTTTGGCTTGCTCTACCTGCCCGCACATTAAGATCAGTCAAAGGCAGGCATGGGAAAACAAGGGCTTTACGAGAAGTAATTTTGCCTGCATAGAACATGGAGTTCAGGCGCTGAGGCTAGAGTTTCGAGTTTCAAGATGTGTTTGGGATCCGGCTTGACGACTTCGCTTGGATATCTCTAAGTCAAGTCCTGAACCCCAAGCCTGCGTTTTTTCGCCTCACATCCTAATCCCAAAATCTCCCAAAATCTCGAGACCCTGAGTCCCGTTTTGAATCATACACTCTCAAACCGCACCCCGCATGCTTCCTAAACCCTAAACCCGCAACTCCAAAATCTCTAAATCTGCTCAACCTGCGGGCAGGGGCACAGCAGCAGAAGCTCTCTGGAGGGATCTACCATTGGAAGCTCGAAGGTGCGGAGGATGTTGGCCACCTGCAACTGCAATGCTCCAAATGGTTTGGCTTGCTGATTGTTAGTAAGGCGAGGAAAACAAGATGGAAGCTACTACCTTCTTCAGCATGCTACTGTAAGGTCGGGTCTAGGTTTGAGGGAATGGACAGACTTGGCAACTATGGCATGAGGCCTGGGAGTTGCAGTTTGAAGGTTTCAGTGGTTTTGGGAGGTTTAGGGTCTGAGGTGGGGTTTGCATGTAAGCGACATGGAATCCCAGACTGGTTGCTATGAAGACGACAGTCCTGTTTAAAGCAGCCTCAAACCTATTCAGGTTTTGGCGGTTGGAGCTTGCCATCATATGCGTAAGCAGATGAAAATATTCTGTCAAGTTCATCATGTCACACAACTTGCTGTCAATGCTAAGTTCCTACAGTCCTGTCAAAACATGCTTCGGCTAAGCATCGTTGAAGGCAAACGAGACACACCAGCCCATTCCCTGGTAGGCTTCAGATCTCATGTGGTCCAGAACACACTACACAAGCAGAGGGACGGCCTAAGCCTGAAGCTGAGGGTGTACAGGGTCTGTGTTGACGATTCAATGTGTCTAAACCCTTGACCTGAAACTAGAAAGGCTGTGAGATCCAACTCTTTGCTGAAGCCTCTGTGACGATTCCACGCCATGCATCGGTGATCATCTCCTGCTTGCAATGCTGCTACTCTGGACAGCAACAACTGAGAGCTTCGTGACAAGGACATCCATACATAACCGATCGTTTCGAGTCACACCCGTGTCCAGAATCATTGAGCCTTTCGACGCGATTACCCATGAATTTCTCTAACCTTTCAGTTTGCTCACGATCGGGAAGTGGTTTGTGAGGAAGTTCCATACATTCTGAACACTCCCAGGTCACGTTGAACATTGCACCTGACATGCTAATCTTTCAAGGACTGGGCTATCCAAGAATAATCAAAGCCGGATATAAGAGTCTCAGAAAGGGACTTATGCATGCGAGAACCGATTAGGGTCTACTGTCTACTCCCCAACCTCAATCACTCAAGCGGCAATCAACCCCTGAGCATTAAACGCCTCGAAATGCCACCAAAACAGGACTTGCATAACCATGTCACGTGAAGATTTGCTATGTCAAGGACCTTTGGGATTTGATTCTTTGCAAACCTCTAGGTCCCCTTAACTACCCCCAAAGAGGATCTTTACCGCGGGGGTCAGCGAAAAATGAGAAAGCCATGATTATTAAGATAACCCTGCTCCTCGCTCTCTTCTGCCAGGATTGCCCCATGCGGTCGGGCGATGCTTCGCGTCCACGCCAGCCACTTGTAGGTCTGGTCCAATCTCGGAAGCATAAGGCCGTCATCCGAAAGTGGATAGACGGATAGAATCAGTTGCATTTGGCGGTCTACATTCATTCAGGGCTTGAGGTTTTGGTACCCTCTGCATGCACAGATTACTTACTCTAGACTCCGCACCGTCAACCCGAATCCCTGAAATCAACTCTGGACCCCAAGACCGCTGTTTGATTTCATCCGAGTGGCTGCTCAGCAAGGGACTTGATAGCCTTAGCTGGAAAGCCCGAAGAGAGAGAGAGAGAGAATGAGAGTGAGAGATAGAGAGAGGGAGAGGGGAAGAGAACTAAAAACCTAGCTTGTGGATTCTGGACAAGTTGGAAGGCTCGAAGATGTTGAAGCCAACTTCCATCTTAGCCTTGTCATGCCCAACAAATGAGACATCACTGGGTAAACCTGGGAATTGCTTCCTTCACACCCTCCGGTACAAGGCGAATGTTACACAGTGGGCTCCCCCCGAGGCGGCTCAAAGATAAGCATCTGCACAGTAAAGGTTGTCAAAACCCAAACGGAAGAACGCGGACACAACAAAGGCAAGAATCTGCCTGACCCTTGAGCTCTGATACCCTCCCCCTAACCCCAAATTACCAGAACCCCTGAACCCTCGCAGAGCTTTAATCCCGGAATCACATTCCTGAAGCCTTAAACAACCCAAGCCTTATTCCAAAGGACACAAACTTTGCCCAGAGCGCTTCCGAGCGGCCTTGACCACTGATCCTCGCAGCACCTTCCTGGCACGGTCCAAGCCTTCGGGAGATAGGTACGCACGGCAGACCTGGGTCAAGGTGATCAGGGTTAGGCATTCAACATTTGGGGATACGTGTCAGCGCTTTGGGTTCATGGTTTTGGAATTTGGGGTTTTGGGTTCAGGATGCTGGGTGTACAGCGTTTGTATTAGGGTTGTGGGCTTGGGCTTGGTAGTTATGAGAGCTTGGCAGGACGGCATTGTCCTCATGTGGGGTAGCATCGTGGGAGGATGATGGCTCTTCTTGCTCTTGTAGGTGCTCTTTATATTCAGGATGCTGGAGTGAAGTAAGTCGTGCAGAGGTGTTTTGGAGGCCTTTCAAGTTGTGGTGTGGATGCTCCTAGAACTAAGGCAAGGTGCGAAACATGACTCCCTGATTGAGCCCTAAAGCCTGGATCAGGCCCCACACAAGCGGGGAAGGGCTTTTGTGAGGGATAAGGATGGCAGAGACTTTACTGCAAGTGCCTACAGTCCCTCCTAACCTCTGCACCAATTATTTCATTGAGTGCGGCTGCGGCCTAAGAATCTAGAATCCGAGCAACTTGCCCCTTTACTCAACCCCTGCTGCACCTTGCACTGCCAAACCAAAGGCCCAAAACCATAAATTCAAAGCCTTCGGCCCTGAAGTCCGTGAATCTTCACTATTCTCTGTAGGACACCTGCCACCAACACCTGAGACATCCTGAAACTGGTGCTCCGGGAAACGTCCACGTTGCTCATGCGAATGTCTGCGGGCACAATCTCCAGCACCGCCTTCAATTGCTTCCAAGAATGCTTAAACCAAGAATGAAAAACGAAAATTGAAACTACCACATGTTGAAGTAAGTCGTGTTTGTTACTATCTCCCTGCAAGCCCCTTGCATGGTCATGGGGCTTCTAAAAACATGTATCTGGTGACTCTAACGCGGCGATACCAAAGTCTCGTGAGATACAGAGTAGCCGCACAAGAAAAACCTATCGAATCCCTTTTCAGAAGGAGTCTATTTGCGAATCTTCCATGCGGTCAAGGGACTTTTTCGACCAACCGTCGCAGAACACGCCCCCGAGAGAGGACCGCCGATACGAAGGAAAAGGAATCTCTGGCCTGATGGCCGAGGGAGAATGCTTCAGAATTTGAGGCTTCGGCTTCAGGGCTTTGGATTCGGCTCTTGCATTTGAGGTTTTGAACTGTATTGTTGGATTTGGTGGCCTTGGGCGGGCGCCTTGGCGCCCTGCATTGCAGGAGAAAGTTATGAGGGGCTTCTTGCCCGCGGCACTGCGGGGTAGACATGACCCACCCATCCAAAAACCCTTAGCACCGACATCAACTTGCGGCCAATGATAGCACATCCTTACGCCGGCCGGTTCAAACTTGGTACCCGAACTCTGAACCCTGCAGCTAGCCCTCAACCGATCATCCTCAACCCGTTACACCCCCGAACCCAGCCAGCAGCCCTGAACTATGAAAGTCTCCGTCTTCTACTCCTGGCCTGCTTGAAGGCCTTAAGGAGCTCTTCCTGATTGAAAACATTCCTCGGCCACTTGGTAGCTTCAATTCCAGAAGGTAGGCTGCTGGGTGAAAATTGGCGTGGGTTGGTGGCTACACCAAATGCGCTGCAGCCTGTATCTGTAAGAGCATTTGAGACTTGCTTTTTAGGGTTGCAGGCATCTATTATTCTAAACCCTGAAAACCTGAACTAAAAATTCCGAAACATAGACTTGAAAAGTCTTTGCCCACCCGAATCTAAAGTCCCCTTATCCACAAAGAGGTTTGTGCTACAAAGGGTTACACACGGTGTGTATGAAAGTCACTCCAACGACTCCGGTAAGCTCTAGAAATCTTCGCTACTCTGAACCCTAACCTCCCTCGCAAGAAAAGAGACCTCGGATCCAGAAAAATGCGAACGCGAACGATCCCTAAACTGCTAAACAGCGAGCTCTGAACCCTAAACCTGAAAGCCACTCAACCCTAGCCATTTAGTACCATCATGTATTTGGGATAATATTTACCATTAGGCGGAGAGGGGGTTGTGTTTTGAGGGGGAGATGAAGAACCCTTTCTGGTGCAGCCCGGCATCTGGGCCAATGTTAGCTTCTTCTTGGCATCTGCCACTTGAGGCCATGGAGCCGCACAGGAGGTGTAGCGCGAAACCTGAAAGCTTGCGTCGAAGCTCGCTGGGGTTGTTAAGGGAGTTGGGGAATGTGGGGAAGTGTTGGGGTTGGAGGGCCTTTGGGGGTTTGGCGGGTTCTGGGTGGGTCAGGCGGGTCAGGGGTGCAGCACTTGAGGTTCAGGGCTTGAGGTCTACAGGGTTTGGGGCTTCCTGTTGGAGATTACATGTAGATCGGGGCGGAGGTCTTGGACGTTTGGGTTTCGGCGTTGCCGAAACCTTGGGCCCCCTGAATGCATCCCGCAACAAAAAGGAAAGGCACGTCATAGATTCTTTTTGGAACTGCCCAAAACAAATCGCCAACCTCAATACATGTTTTGAATCTGGTCGCGCAGACCT